CAAGTCCCTCTTATGTGACCGAAACGCCAAAAGTTAGCATTGATTTTCGTCATGTAGGAGCTCACCGGAGTGCACTGCCGACGTGGTTCTCCAGCGTCTCGGGGATGACAAACTGTGTTTATCATTCGGCCCGGTGGCCAGCTGAATCTGGACTCGGCAGCCTCCTCTAAGCTGCTCCCTCAAACATACCATGACCAAAGCCGCTATTCACCTATGGACGGGGTGAAAAAAACAAAAACACAGAGGGCCTTTGTGTTTGAGCAAGAGCAGGACAAGTCGAGGGCGCGTGGTGAGAGGATACACTTGATTTGGAGTCAGTTAGCAGCTCATGCCTATCGTAATGGACAATGGGGCAAGGGCAAGTGTCTCCCTCCCCTTAGCTTTCCTTCTCTCCCTCACCCTGTCTCTTGGCGTGCTTCCCCCAGGAGACACGAGCCGGGGGCTGGGCGCTCTGATGGCCAAGCGTGACATTTAAACCCCTGCCCTGCGGTAGCTTTAGGGGGGCTTTGTGGAGGGGATGGGAGGGGGGGGGACGCAGAGAGGTCCATCTGAGCACAGAGAAAGAAAAAAAGGGGGTCCGGACAGAGGCTCACCCTACAAACCCCCTATTACTGGAAGCACCGCTCACCCCCACCACCACCACCACCACCACCACCACCCTCCCCTGCTTCCCCCTGCAGAAATCCTCAGTGTGTCAGTGCGGTGGGGGCCCCATTGTGCGCAGGCCTGCCGCTGAAGAAAAGGGCCCTTTGGTGGTAAACAATTCAGCTGTCCACTCTGATCACAATGGGGGCACATCCCATTGCTTTGAGCATCTGTTTCGAGTAGGTATTGGTCCCCGTCGCCGCTCTGCAGCGCTGACCATACATCCACGGTGTGCGACTAAATCCCCGAATCTGCTGGCCCACTACCACCTGCTCTCAGCCTCCCCTCCTTTTATCATTCCTTATTCGGATCAATACCGTTGACTCGGCTGCAGTGTCTCTCAAAAGACGAGCTGAATGGCCTCGTGTCGGCTGTTCGGGAGGAATGCATGCCTTTTTTAAATTGCGTACAGTGCACAGGCCGACTGTACAAGATGTTTGAGGCATGCATGAGAAAAGGAGATGCTTTTCTGTCAAGGCACCAGGAGTTATGTACGAGGCCTCGGCCTTGCAGCTCAATCCGTGGCTACTTATCGCCCCCTTGTGGTGGTTCAGCATATTTCATTGCTGCTTGTGGACAACAGTCGTAGCTTGTTGGTTATCTCGTCATCTGCATGTAAACAAACCGCAAGGAGGACGAACTGTTGAGGTCTTCGATAGCTCACATCCTGGCGACAGTCAAAACTCAACCTATTAACTTACTTATGGGACACAAAAAAAGAAATTGTTCCATAAATTTGTTCCAACTCTGAGATCATTTCCATCAAGGCTTTTACATTTTTCATTCGTTGCATTTCACTGCAACTGCACAGCATCTTTGTCATCCTGGTTCATCAGTTTTGCTAATTTTTGCTTCTTTTTTTGAAATCCTGCATAGTTTTTTCTTTTACATTCGAAATTAATGTGCATTTTTCATCCTGTGCTTCTTTTCAATCCCGTTTTATCATTTTTTAACGTCTTCTTGACTTGACTTTTTGTTAAAAAATTTAAATAAAAATGGCGTGTACAAATATTTTTGCCTTCTATCAGCCAAATGTGCACCAGAATCAAAGCGAACAGTATTGATGAGGCAGACTGGACAGTGTGATTGTTGTTGGATAATGTCACTGATGCATTAATCAGGATGCTGGTTGTAATTCGTTGTTTTTAAACTGACTGTAGCTTTAAAAATAAATGGAATAAAAAGGACAATATCTCAGACTGAAATGCAGTAAAACAGAAGAGTGACATCAAACAAAAGGAACAACCTTTAAACTGAAGTTAACTGAACTAAACTAGTACCAAAGTGTTTATTTCTTTACTTTAAACTATAACATCCTGTGTGTTATTTTTTTTTAAATGTAAAATACAGTAAAAGGATGTTCAGTCTTCTTAGATATTTAGTTTATTAAATTAAGTCAATGCTCGCTTTAACCTGTCAGCATTCTTTTTTCTTTTTTTTTTTAATTTAGCGTGTTGTGTTTTCTCAAAACTATTCCAACGACACGGTTTCCTCCGACGCCTCTGCCCACTACCCGATTCCAAAGGGTTAACAGTGAGCGGGCTACTCTGCTGGGGAGGCGCTAATCAGCTCGGAAACATTTGCTGCCCTTCTGGCAAGGTCAGAGGGGTCACGGTCCCTGGGCTGGATGTCCACTCCATCCCTCGCTCCTCCCCCTGCTGCTGTAAAGCCCAGCCCCCCCTTGGGGCCTATAGGCCCTGCAGGCACAATCACCGCACCACGACTATAGGCTCACAGAGGCTGGCTTTAATCTATATGGAGCCCTGGGATGGACTGCGGCTGTCTGTCCATCAGCCCGTCGGTGTGTCTTGCCTTGACCGTGCACAGGCGACCCTGGACCTGAGCTATCGACTTAGACAGGCCGGACCCAGATTTGTGATTGGTCTGCGGAGGCGTCCGGTGGGCCCCTCCTGCTGTTTGACCAGCTGATTGATCTGTTAACACTGGCCGCTGGACGTGTGTCCCTGAATTTAATTTCAGAATTCATTTCTGGGAGACGTGTGTGTACAGAAATGATGTAGAGTCCCAGGATCGGAGTGAAGGATTGACGGTTGAGACGGAGTAAAATTGCAATTTAGATTTCTTACCCCCCCGTATTCTCAGATATTCGGAACGTGCTTGACTAGAACGCTGGCCCACACTTAAAACACACTCTTACGTCGTTTTTCAATTTTCAACTAAAGTGCGATTTAAAGTGGTCCATATTCGACTCTTTGATCCTTCAAGTGTCTAATCTCCAAGAGTTAAACTCCTTTGGGTGCAACACAAGACAATTTCTCAATATGTGTCTTTTTCCGTGTACGTTTCTTTTTTATTTTCCAAGCCATTGGGCCCATTTTGCCCTCTGGGCACTATTTATCATTTCATTTTTGAGATACAGCGTTGCTGTAATGTGAACTGAGATATTGGCTATCTACAATACATGACTAAACCTGCAAAGGAGCCTCTACCGTCATTGCATTTCATCACTTATCAATACCCAGAGAACCCCCTGCTGTTAAAATAATAAAAAGTGCTGAAAAATGCCACTGGAGTCAGGCTGGGAGGTTAGGTAACCCTGATTCATTTCACAGCTCATAAAGAGCGCCAATGCATCAGTGAGTGGGTATTGTCCACCATGGATTTCCCAGTTCATTCTGCTTTATGCTTCTCTGTTATCAGAAACGGCCATAAAAACACAGAGACTATGAAATAAATGTGATGACAAAAGACAATGCCGCTGTTCGGAAGTGAGGGCTGATTTGATGGAGTCTCTCTTTCTGCCCCCCCTCCTGTGGCCTGCTGCAGACATGGGCTGAGGGGGTGGAGGAGGTGGAGGGGGGCTGCTTGGATATGCATCACAAAGGCTTCCTGCAGTATTGATCTGCAGTGGGTTAAGGCAGTCTATCAGCAAACGTCCCTCTCTCTGGGAAAAACAATAGGAGATTAAAAACACACAGCTTGCCGGGCGGGAGGCTGCTGATGGGCCCTTATCTGGGCCCAAAGGTCACTGTGTACAGATATAATCCACTTTCACTTAACAGCTTCATTTAAGGCACCTCGCATGCAAATGCTGGCATTTCAGGGTCTGTTTAAAGATGGACGTTTGTTTTTCAAAAGGAAGTTTAATTTAGTTTTTTTTTTTCCCTGAGACCATTTAGGCAGGAAAGTGCGGCGGCGGATGACTGCGTTTCTTTTCTCGTCTTACATTATTGCTGATGGAAGCAGCTGCTGAGGCTGTACAGTACGGCCTCCAGAGCCGCACTCCTGCACTCACCGATCAATTCACTTCAGTCCAGACGACTGGCTCGAGATGACAACGATAGAATTAAAAAAAACTGAACAGCACACAGATGTATAAACACATATCATACAAATGATTAGAAACTCTGGAGTCCTGCAGCAGCTTTTAACAAACTCTTTTGTTGTCTATTTCTTCAATTCAAGATTAACGACATCTTACGCCATCAGATGTCATTAAACAAGTTTTGAATGCTTCAGTTCTGTCAGAGCTTGATCACTGTTTTGTGATTTGGTTGCCACAATGAAAGAGTTAAAAAAAAAAAACTACAAGCAAAGGAAATAAAATAATGTAAAATGTGCGTTACAACGTTCTGCATGACAGTCTGGATTGGCTCCCTATCAGGCAGAGATCCATCTATGTTCTGTTAAATTTTGTCGGGTATATTCTGCTGATGCGATCCCCAAAGATATGACACGAAAGGCTATTTTCTCAGTTTGCTCAACGTGATTATCGAACACGATTCAACGGTTTGTTCTACCTAAATGCAGAAAACAGTCGCCGTGGTTCGGTGGAATTCATTATCACTGGATTTAGTTCAAGAGGATATGAAAGATCGGTTCAAAATGTTGTTGAAACAATAGTTTTTAAGGAGGTATGGACAAGAAAAAAATGGTGTTTCACAATAAAATGTAATGCTGGCGAGAGCGAAGAATGTATAACGTGCTTTTGCCCTGTTTTCTTGGATTTCAATGAGTTGAAGAACAGGATGGATAAATGTGTTATTTAAGGTCGTTCTGGTTTTATGTTTACTAGGAAGAATTATGAGTTCAAGATTAATTATGGATTAATAATTCTGTGTATGATTTAATGTATGTTGTGCTGAATGATGACAATATGTTTCTCTACCTTATTTTACTTAATTGCAAAGTTAACGAGATGAGCTGCGTATATGTGTGGACCCCAGGAAGAACAGCCAATGCTTATGCGGGGATCCTAATAAACGAAACGAAACTCTGGATTATTCCTCCTGCAGCAGCTGCGTTTCTAGCTTTTAACCAACTATGTTGTTTTCTACTTTCTCAGTTTGCTTTAACACAAGATTCCTTTCCATTACTGAAAACAGAGACGATGATTCGGGTGCATCTTTCTTATTTATTGACGCTTGTGGTCTTGCTTTATGCACAAGTAACTGAGGATATGAACAGTAAAACAAAACCTAACCATTAAAAACTAACATAAACACTTTTTTTAAAGCTTATTCCAACATTACATAACGAGCCAGTCAGTTTTAAATGTGTGTCATTCAAATAAACTGCAAAACAAACACAACTACAGTTCGGTCGTAACCTTAAAAGGAAGTTAAAACAGCTTCAAACAGATGTGAGATTCCTGTTCTTTAAAAAAAAAAAAACAACAAACGGTGTAACTTGTGATCAAAATTTCAAAAACATCAATGCAGATCGACAGAACGGTGCTGCCGCGTTACCAGTGGGATGCGAGGTCAGTAGTGTCCTTTGGGCTCGCTGAATTTGCGTTTCTTCTTAGGTGCAGAGGAGGACGGCGTTTCCTGGCTGCTGGGAATGTCGTACTGAGAAACCTGAAAGCGGCAGAAGAAACGTGCTGTTGACATTCAGTAAACCGCAGCATTTCATGTGTCTGCTGACAGACAGCAGCCCACTCGGAGAGACCAAAGTGGTCGACGCTGACTCATCCGCCAAACAAACAGGGTTCCTACGCAGTTTCCACATCAAAATTCCTCCTAAAGACATCGTTCTTATGCAGAAGTGCAGCTGTTTCATCATCTAAACCGAATGGTGTCTTTTTAGGTTGTGGGCGCACATTTTTTTTTCCGCCCACAGTTAATCTTTAAACGGCTGGACAGTGTTTCAGACCTCAGGATTATCGATACGCTTTTCAGACACACAAAGAAACACGCTATCCTGAATAAAGGGGCCATGAGGACATAGTAGTTTACATTTACATTAAACCATTTAATTAGGAGAAGGTCAGAGCTAGAAAGAGATTTTTACCATTTTCCTCTTTATAGCTGTTGATTTGTTGTTCTTCACAGTCATGTTTGTCTCCTGCCACAAAAACACCATTTTTAAAAACTTTAACTTAAATATGTCACAGTTTTCTACATCAAATACACACTCATAAAACAATTCATCAGGGTTTTACGTTAAAAAACACACTTATTTTTCCATTGTTCTCTAACTTTCCTACACAAACAGCTGGAGATCAATGCATTAATCATCACAAATGAGATAAAATAAAACTAATCAGGCTCATATCTGATAACCTGATTAAGATATCTGGTTAACTCGAATAATGAAAGAAAACACTTCTCTTTCATTTAAGACTCAAGAGCCTTGTAGGTAGAATTTGGATAACTGACCGTAGTCCAGATCCGTCCACTCCTGGTCCTCTTCAGGCCCACCTCCACGTCGGAGGTCCTCTTCACCAGATTGTCCATCTGACGGGGGGACAGATGGTCCGTAATGCCAGCAACCATTAAGTGCGCTCAGAGTGGCCTTTCGCCTCATGTTTACGCAGAGCCTACAGCCATTCTGCACTTCTGAGAGGCCCTTCGTCTCTTTAAATTCTCAGTTACAGCTGCTGATGACGCCTCGTGCTGAGGGACACTTAGGCTGACAGTTAAACCGGCCGTGAAAGGACTTTTGTCCCGTTCAAACGTGGCTCCGCTTCCGACAGAGGTTTAAAAAAAAAAAAAAACCCTTAAATTCAATTTTATGTGTCTGGATTCCTCTCTACTTTGTTCTCTTTTTTTGTACTTTCAACATCATTTTTTAAATAAGGCTCATTTACTTGCTACTAATTAGGGCTTCCTATTCTTTTATATGTTCATCGTCACTGCTAATTTCCACTTGACGGTGAACAACGATGTATGAATCTGCTGTAGTATGTTAGAGGATTTTTAATGCTGTTGCTTTCTGCATTTTTAGCTTAATTTATGCGCCACATGTTCGTGATGTGTTCAGCGTACCTCCGTGACTCCCTCACAGGTCTTGATCTTCTCATCGCAGCTTATCTGGATCTCTGGGAATATAGAAAATACATACGCTCCATGAGTTTCGCATTGTTTAGACTGTATTTGACTACTGCGTGAGTCAATGCTATAATATAGAGAATAAAAAGGATTGTTTGTGGATCAGGAGGATGTCTTTATATTTAACAAAATCACAACTTTAAGTAAAATTAACATTAAAAAAATCAACAATTAAAGCCTCTTGAGCTGAATTCCAGCATTCAAACCCCTGTGAGGTCTCCAGTTAACACTCTCTAAAGCATGCTTATACTTTCTAGGAACCCACTCATACTATTTTATACATCCAGTACAGTCAGTATGTCCTACTTTACGAAAACACTGTTCCACACAAACAAGGCCAGGCTGAACCCCGGAGTAGTCGTTATGTATTATTTACCGGTGTTGTCCAGGTCTGTGCTCTCGCTGTCAGGCTTCTCCACGTCTTCAAGTGTACGACTCTAAAGGATAAAACATGCTATCTGAACGCCGTGATCTGAAAATGTCAACATGCTGACCACAACAACAAACAGCTGCTGATAGCACAACGCTGACGTCTGACCTGGAGCCTCACCCGCTTCTGCAACATTAAGGCATTTTTTCCAGTTTGTATATCGATCCCGGAGCTGTTCAGTGCATCGCACGTTGACCTACATTACACTTTTTTGCTTCAAAATGTTGATCTTAAAGATATTTATGTAGAGCACATTTTCCAATGGTAAAAAAGATCAAAACAACAAAAATAGTTTTACCTTATTTGTGAGTTAAGAAGCATCTTGAAAGCTCCTCAAACCTATTTGAGCCATGATTTACTGATGTTTTCATGATTATTTTGCCTTAAATGACAATATACTACAAAGAAAGTCAACTGTGAATGAATGGGATCATGAATGATGTAAGGATCCGTTTGCTTCATGTGTGAGCTGTGAACGGGCTGACCTGCATCAGATCGCTGTCCTCCGTTGTCTCCTGAACCAACTTCTTGGTCACATGAATACACTCCTCCACCTGCAGACATGAGGCAACGTGCATTTGCTGTAAATCTGCTCCCAGTTGTGCTGATTGCGGCAGAGCTTATGGATACCAGTCAAGTCAAGTCACTGGTTTCTATCCAGCAGTTTTTAAGGGATTAAAACCCTGCAGAAATCATAGAAAATGCTACTTTGGGTGCTGCTATAGCTCAGCTGGTTGAGCTGGCGTCCCATGTATAGGGGCTATAGTCTCCATGGGTTCTAGTCCCGCTCATGACCCTTTGCTACAGGTCCGTCCCCCATTCTTCTCCCCCCACTTTCCTGTCTCTCTCTCTGTCCTATCTAATAAAGCCAAAAAAGGCCAAAAAATATCCTAAAATAATAGAAAATACTACTTTATTTGACTATAACACACAATAAAGCTGAGACCCTACAGTGTTATAAATCATGGAAAATAACTAATGTGGTGATGCTAATGACACCCTGTGCTATTATGAATTATGGAACTTCACCTACATAATAAAAACAGTGAGTCTTGACAAATTCAGAACTGAAGTTTTAACCCAACAAAAAACCACGTAACCAATATCTAAAGATTCCCTGGAGTCCCGATTACTGAGCTTTGTTTTTATTTTTTATTTTATTGTCTTCACTGACTATGACGTCGGCCCTTTCCTAAGCCTCCGTCTCGTTCACCTGGTCCAGTCTCCTCCTCTCTGTGGTCATGTCCAGCTTCATGGTGTGGAACGGGGTGACCACCTCCCCCATGGTCAGCTGGACGGGTTCCTGCTCAAACTCCATGGTGTCGCCGTCGGCCTCTCTGAAGCCTGGCGGCTGGTAGTCATGAGGAGTGACTGAAATATAGAAACAACCACAAACAAAAACTGAACGAGAAACATGTCTGGAAGTGGGATAAATGCTAATGGGCTACAAATCCCATTAATCCTGGACTCACACAGATTCGCTGACAGTGTTTGTTCCTGTGGCCTGACCCTCTGAGTGTAAACGCATTACTTTAATGTCATTACATTAAGAGATAAAAGAAAAAAATGTCACGGTTCCTAACTCAACAACATGAAAACAGACAGTAACAATGCACAGAGTGACATTCTGTGAAACTCAGCATTTTTATACTGTAAACTAAACCCATTGAACTCAAAAATCTTTTTGTGGATCAAACAAGCAACAACAACAGTCACAAAGACATCGTAATGAAAAACGAACAAGACAAAATACAGTCGTGACTCGATAATCCGACACTAAATGTAAAACCTTCTTTTATGTCGGATAGCAAGACGGAGGTCGAGATACAAGGAGGGCTTGATGCTGGAAGGCTCATTAGTTGTTAATATTATTGTTCATAGTTGTTATAATAACTAGTAGGGCTGGTCCCAGTAGCACTTTCTGCTCTCTGGATATTCAGGCCCAATTAATGGGTCGTATGAAGTTCACACAGCAGATCACATACAAGTCGCATTTAATTGGAAATGTGAAGGAACAAAAAAAACGAATTTCACAAAAAAATCTAGATTGAGCATCAAGTCCTGCAGTGTGAATGTAGCCAATCTGTGGGATTGTTCAGTCAGATAATACGCCGTTATAAAATGTCACGTCGGAGTGGGAATCCAAGGCTGTCGCTATGTTAAGGCTGTTTTTATGGGTTCTGTTCGTTTTTCCTAAAAACCTGTCGGATAGCAAGGTTTAGGATTGTTAAGGGTCGGATTATCGAGTCACGACTGTACATGTAAAAATTGAAAGTGTAGGAAAAAATTGCAAATTTTGAGGCAAACATAGTGTGCCACTAAACTTAGCACCACATTGGGATACAAAAGAGTAAAAGCCATTTATCTGTTCTTTAACCCTCTGTGCCTGTATGTGCGATTCCCTTACAAATTTATTCTTAGACACTACTTTTTTTCTCTCATCTGCTTCGTCTAAAATGTTGCACGAATGTCAACGAAGACCAAAAGAGCAGCCCAGCTCTAAACATTACAGTTAAGTGTTCAAAGCTTTCAGAATTCTGCCATTTACACTGTAATGTTTTCGCTGTGTGTGTGTTTGTGTGTGTAGGTGTGTGTGTGTGTTTGTGTGTGTGTGTGTCCCGTACCATCATCATAGTACGCCAGCCTCATGTTGAGGCAGACGACCTCTGGCAGCGGATTCAAGTTCTGCATCAGCATGTAGAGCTTCCTCACCAGCAGGATGCAGGCTTTCTTGGTGTTTCCGCACGACATCGATGACACTTTGTTGTTGTTGTTGTTGCTGAAAAAGATGCAGAGCGGAATCAGAAATGAACACAAACAGGCCGGTCTCGCTTACATATGCGACACATGCATTAATGACGGATGTAGTCAAACATCTTGAGCTGTGAGTCACATCTAGATCTGATTTAGCTTCACTGGTTCTCCTGTAGTGCTTTACTCCAACTCTGGAGACACTTGTGAACGCTCCGAGTTAAAGGTGTGAATTAATTCAAGCCCCAGCTGAATAACAATTAGAATATCAAGTATGTGAGTGTGAAATAAAATGAAAATATCCCACCTTTCAAAATCCATTTGTGGCCCTTTTGCAGTGTACTGGATCCTAAACTGGTAAAACTCAGTCACTTTCTAACAGGGAGGATGAGACATGCGATGCATTAATCATGTCTACAGCGAGATATCTGTACAACATGTTAGCATGGCAAGAAGACAACCTGAACATTACCTGGGGGTTGTCTCGGTCCGTATAAACCTAAAAATAAGGGGGCCAAACATCAGCACCGTGAATATTTTTAGATTTGCTAAGGCAAGCCTTATAGAGAACACTGTATCTGCTGGAAAGTTTTAAGGAGCGAGCATAGTTGCAGTTCTTAGCATTTGCCTTCTTATCTCTTTGCCACGTTCACGCTTCCAAGCAGACTTCTCGCTCTGATGTGCTTATCTCAATTCAAACATTCAATATTAAGGACAAAGATCAGGAGGCCAAAGACTAGCAAAGTACTTACAGACATAACAACTGTCCGCAGCTGTGGGGGCAAAAAAAACAATCATCATTTTGATCACGTTAGTTACTGTGAGACACAAAGAAAAGTCAGTTTATCTCGCCTCATTCACAGCAACTCACGTAGGTGTACAGTACGAATCTTACGGCTGTCTGACAAAAGCTGAGTGTGACTTACGTATTTCTTCTGGATGGCATCAAAACATCCCTGCATCCTGGAGGAATGTGAAAACAATTAATCCACAGTGTCCTCCAACATGTTCTCACATACAGCAGGGACAGGTCTAAGGTCAACAAGTCCAGAATCATCATTACATGTAAATCCAAATGCATTTCAGTCTATTGGTGTGTGACGTGATAAAGACACAAAATTATTCAGCTTTAAAACACAGAAAAACAACACGAATAAAGGGAAACCACAGAAATATTTTTTCAAAGTGACAATAAAATGTATTTTCATGAAATCTACTTAATATTTCTTGACAATCTTTCCTTTAAATCTGCTTCCTGCTCAGTGTAGCATCACTGTACGCCTCCCATTTGACCTTTACTAACAGCTACAATTACACAATAATGAACCAAATCAATTAAATACGTATATATTGTTCTTATTTGCTCAGGTTTGTTCTTAGTGTGGAGCTGCAAGGTGGAGCTGCAAGGTGGAGCTGTAGTTAGCACTGTTGTCTCACAGCAAGAAGGTCGCTTGTGAATTGGTGATTCTAAATTGTCCGTCGGTGTAAATGTGAGTGCACTTGGTTGTAAGTGTAGCCCTGTGATAGACTGGCGACCTGTCCAGGTGTCCCCTGCCTTCACCCTGAGTCAGCTGGATGACTCTCGTGAGGATTAAGTGGTATATAGATAATGGATGGATGGATGTTCTTAGCGTCTGAACATTCCAGCATTCTGAGAACGCATTACACTTGACAACACTGACGTATTTGGTAAAACATGTTGGGTTATCTGACTCTGTTAACATCATTCAGTTTGTCTAGTTTATGAAATTCGCATTCAAATTGTTGCTGCGGCGACCCTCATAAACAGCTCTGGTTAGCGTGCATCAAGCTGCTGTTATTTACCACTGAAGAATCTGAATGACACCAGGACAGCTGCGCTCCTCTCTCAGGACCATCACTTGCTGATCTGTGAGGAACAACAAAGATGAGTAAGAATCTTCAGAATGCAAATGGAGGGGCTGGAGCACAGTGCTAAATTCACAGCCTTTTATTGGGAAAACAGTCTAATATTTCAACATTAGTGTGTCTTCATCAGAGTCCAAATGGACAAAGGCATGAGGCAAGCATATATATTTAACCCAAACATTTGCTCCAGCCCTACTTTCCGCATACTGAATATTCGCTGACGTGCACAAGAATCTTCTTTGTAAATATTTCTAAATGATACATGGAACTTGGTGATGTGCAGACAAATACATTTGTGTAATCTAACCTTCCACATATTTGGTCCCGTAGGCTCTCCCTGGGAAGATACCCCTGAGGTATGTGATGCCAGACACTGCAATGGCCAGAAGCTTCTTGATAACGACCAAGGACTGCTGCTCTGAGACAACCTGATTAGGACACAGCTGAGTATCCTGCACGGGTGAAAGAAATAAACAGGACTGCCTACTTTACACAGAACTAGAAAGCCAACAGCTGCATTTAAAAGGACAGTTTTAGTGAAAAAACACATATTTTTTTCAATCTTGGAGTGTAATATTATCACTAATATTAACCTGACATGATCAAAAATATATCTAAATATAAAATAACATTTCAATCATGGCTCTTGGATGTTTATGAAATGAGTGGAGTGTCTTCTTCCAACATTTTGTGAATAATCTCAATAATATTTGGTAATAAGAAACCCTGTGTACCAACATGTGCAGACATTTTTAACAAAAAAACAAATGTCTCAAGTGTAGTGTAGTTGCAGCTTAAGATAAATATACCTTATATGATTATATAGCTTGTATTTCAGCTCTGAATCTGCAGAGTATTAAAGCTACTTAACTGATGTACTATAGTGATTTAAAGTATAACAAACACAAACATTGTCGTGCATGAGTAAGCAAGCAAGTTACAATAATTCCTGCTACAATTAGGGATAAAACGTGACACAACATATGCAGTATATACACTAAAATAAACTGAATGCAGCTGTTCAATGGTGATTCTGCTTTGGAGCTATGCAGCTAGCTAACTGTGTTGTCAATTTACTAGACGTTAGCCACTCAGGTTGGTGTAATTTTACCTGTGAAGTTCTCAATTGTTGTCCACAGGCCATTGCTTCGGTTAAAACAACAACATAAAAAGCTGCAAAGAACAGAGAGAAACGATGTGAGGTTGGTCAAGGCAACATGTGGGATTAAATTAGCAAATTTAGCACATTTACATTACTGTCAGCTAAAACAAGCTAGCTGATGTTTTAGCTAGTTAATAATCCTGTTCGCTTGCGCAGTGCAACGCTAGAATTGCGCCACCTCTAGCTATTCCTAGCCTGTTGATAATGATCGTGTATTTACATGGGTAAAAATAAAAAGTATATTTTACAAAAGCAATACAGTATTTTTACTTCTGAAAGCTAACTTTTTGGGTGTTAGCTAAAAACCGTTCCCGCTAACTGATTAACGGCAGCAACAGGCTCAGCGGGAGCCAATCACAGAGCAGGTGTACATGTAAAGGCCGAAAAAAATTAAACAACAGTCGTGAATATTATCTCGTTTTATGTGTCCGATCAAAAAAGTGTGACTCAACGTTTATGAAATTAAATACCTACATGTTCCATCGATTATATATCTTTTGTGTTGTTCGGTCGATTTGTGTTGATGCAGTGCGGCCCCCGCATCGCACCGAGTTTCGATACTGTAATCCCATTGGGCGGCGGGCTGTCAATCACGCAAAGCGGCGCAGTTACTGCAATCCCATTGGTGTGTGTGGAGCACTGCTGCGCTTCTATAGGTTACTGTATGTGTCAATCACAAGTGGGAACCGTCCCACCCTCGCTCCCCCCACCACCCCCACAGTGATGTCACATCTCGTTACGCCATTTTTGTTGGGGAGCAGTCGTGTTCAGAAAAGCAGGATTAGATTCAGTACAGGTACATCAAACGACACCTCCTGTAAACATCTCTTTGAGTTGTCTTGCAAACGGGACACCTGCCTGTCCACCACGCTCACACAATGTCTTCAGAAAACCTGGACTCGGACACTCAAGTGGACTACGAAGACGAAAAACAGGTGGGTTTTTCTGACTGCTGCCTTGATGTTGGTAGCTAGCCACCGAGCATGCTAGCTGGAAGTGGCTAACATCAGCTAGCACAAGTGAAGTGTTTGCAATATGCTCAGCGCTGCACCGAGGCAGAGCAGGACTTCTGGAAGACATGTACGGCGAAGGTAGTCTGTTCGCTGAGGCGAAAACGGTTTTAGTTGTAGCTGTCATGACGTGCAGAGCACCTTGCCTGTGTGTCACTTTGTTTTGTCCCTTGCCTTGTGTCATTGGCTGGCGAGTCCACAGCAGCTCGGGCCTCATTGGTCTGTACTGGGGGGGTCTCGAAACGTGCCACGGAGGGCCTGCAGTCTCCTTATAAAGATATAAATTGGGATTTCACTCCGTGCACCTTGAGCTAGGAAAGATGCCCGATCTAAAACAAAAATCTGTTGTCCTGAATTGTTCCCTGGTGATCTTGTCCTGACAGTGACAACCAGCTGCAGTGTGTTTTTTTCCGCATTTTCCATGATCTGCTACAACCACAGCAGTGATGTGCACCACTGTTCAACATCTGGATCAGGGCTTTTATTAAACATCTGTTGATATCAGTGTAGGTCAGATCGTGCAACCAGTGTGATTTTTGTTTTTGTTTTTGTTAAAAGCTTTGTAGCTTGTTCCACTAATAAAGTACAAGATCCTTACCGGATGTTGATATTAGCTTAAGTATCTGTTATATTTACAAAGCTGCACGTTCATCAGTGTTGCAAATCTTAAAGTAGAAATTCAGATCCAGTTGTAGCTGGTTCATTTTAATAGTTCAGATATTAAAATTTTTATTGTTGTGATACTCGAAACGTAATGATTAACTGTGATACTTTGCCCAGCGGCAAGCACCTGATTGGTGCATGTTGGGAGTTTAAAACTCTGTGACTGTGTCGACAAACCAGTTTGTTTCTGAGCATAATGCTGCTTGCAAAGTAACCGTGCACTCCACCTCCAGCCATAAAGTTTCAGTGAATAGAAACTGTGTGCACATTGCTTTGACAAATACGGCCTTTTATTACTGTTGACATAGTTACAGCCAAAGTCAAATCACAAGTCGCTGTCACAGAAATTCTGTGTGAACTAGGTTAAAGTGCCTGAAACCCTCTGCCTCGAAGTTACAGCTCATCTTAAACCAAACTTTTGTTTTCGTCAAACTTTTCTATACATATTGAATGTGTTGCAGAGATTGTGTCTGAAATGATGCATCCAAACTTCTCGGTTTGTTGAAACAATCCTGAGTCTCAGATTTCAGTCACAGTAAGTGAGACACAGCTTCAGTGAGGCACTGGAACAAGGAAATATATCCATGAAGTGAAATATTGTTGGAAAACGGTTGAATCAAAATCTGAAGCTGCCTGAGGAGAATTTCACAGTTCTGTACATAATAATAATACATAACTGTTACAGTGAGTGCACAAAGAGTTTGTTGTTGGATTTTGCAGTTTCCCTGCATTGGAACCGAATATAGTAGCTCATAAATTTCTCGTCATGGACCCAAGTGAATCAGCACACTGTGTGCGACACGTCCCCCCTCCTCCTGAGGGAATCTGTTCATCGGCTTCTGTGTCCTTAGTCACATTTTATCCCTGCCCCAGCAAGCTTTACAAGCTGAGTGCCCTATCTTGTCTGCATAGTAGAAGTAGGTCTCCACTGTGCACTGCTCGCTCCAGGTGCAAGGAGTGCATAAATGGCCTTTGGAGTTTGTCCACTGTAGCCTTACAGCGCTTTATAACTACTGTTTGTTGAGATAGTTTGAACATGCACTTGATTCACACTGTGTACATAAGGTGGTGGCCCAAATGAGTGGCCTTAATGACTTGAATGACGGGTATCTGACCAGTTTGGCCAGTATTAGTCAGTGGCAACAGCACAGACTCTGGCATTGTCTCAACAAATTGCCACCTCAGGCTTCAGTAACCTCCACCTAGAGTTTTAGGTGTTGGAAAGTCCTGTCAAGTTCGAGTTTCTTGTCCTTGTTACCCAGTTTTTTTCCTCTAAAAAGACGTAGCTAGATAACCAGGGAATTCACATTACCAGAAAACAAGAAACCAAAAGATTTAATGTAAGTATTGCTATTTGTGGCAGCAAGAAATTGTTGTTTTTTCCCATTTTATCAACAAATATTAGCATGTAATAACCTGTGATTTAGCCATTCACAACACTGTGATTGTTTGTCTTGCTTAAGAGGAAGATTCAAAATTAAATTGTGCTTAAAGCTCTATAAGGTGCGATTGTTTATTGCTTGACAGACTTCTCAGATATGTAACCATCTGCTGCATCGGGTTGCAGTCATAGTTTCATATAAGCAGAGTTGCTAAAAGGACCTGTGTAGACTTGTGAGCGTCAGATTTCATCTTTCAAAGACTTTAACAGATACATGCGTGATGCTCGTGTGCCAAAATCCTTATTAACATGATTTCCCAACAGGGCTTTAGTTGTTAGTTGTCAGTGTAGACTTGTGAAAAATCCTTCGGGCTTCGTCTCTACGTTCATGTTCGCACCAGAAGTTGTTGTTCCGTGCTTTCGTCCAAGGCATGATTGTGATATTAAAGCCTGTAACGGGAGAACATTCATGCTGTGACTCATGCTAGCATGAAGTATCTTTGGTTCTCACCAGTCATTGTCGTGGCTTTTAGCCCACTTCACAGCAGAGGTTTGCAGAAGTAATTTAAGTGTGAAGTTTTGACTGACGTGGCCCCTTTGCTCCACAATAGATTTTACTGCACAAACTGTGGTGTTTTTTTGTAGAAGCAGCAGAATTTTTGGAATTGCTGGCTGACCTGAAATGAGCGCCTGTCACACAACCATCTGTTCCGTCTGTACTTAAACTTTCCTGAAGCCGCATCACATCAGCTGACAACTCTGAAGGGTCCCGAACTTCTGAAAAACAGCACTGTTTATGTCTTTTCGTCGTGTGTCCTCAGGACTCCCAGGAAAAGAATGCGAACCCAGTGAAGGCAGAGGAGGCCAAGCTGAAGGCCAAGTACCCCGGCCTCGGCCAGAAGCCCGGCGGCTCAGACTTCTTGATGAAGAGACTACAGAAAGGAGTAAGTGACCGTAGTTTGCCCGTGACATCATCTGAGACAGGATTGTGTCTCGTTTAAAACTGGTTAGAGATTCGATGCCCACAGGAGATGTCAGCAAATCAACCCAACTTTGAAACTGAGAAAGTTTTGCCGCTAAGTCGCCTCGTTGATGTTTGTACTTCCAGCTGTAATGCGTCACTGTCACTGAAAAAAAAAAAATGTCTGAACTTGAAAAACATTGTTTGAAAAGCAGCTACAGACAACATTACACTCATTGCAAGAGTTTTTGTTGTCCATTCATCAATGCTACGAGGCTAAATCCACCGAAGCAGAAAGCAAAATAATTTCTCAGCAGACTAGAATCAGCTGCATTGGTAGCATGTGAAATACAGCCTCTTTGACGGAGTGCTTTTCATTTGTATTTTGAACAGCAGGGCAGAGAACCCCAAGGCAACCCTCTCTCTCCCCTCTAAACTTCCCCCAGCTAGAGAAGCTGTTGCTCCCTCCACCTACGCGTACTGTATACGCTACAGAGAACCTCCACCTCTGGAGGTTGTTGAAAGTCATTCCGGGAAACGTGGGAAATCACTGGCTAGGAGTAGGAGTAGTCGAGGCAGGCTGAGGGAAAAGCCTAAAGAGAAATTGCAGTACTTCATCATAAGGTAATCAACGCCATCGCAGACTGATGACAAGGTGGAGAGCTTCACGGGGAAAGGACTTTAATTTTGAAACACAGGAATATGATTTGACTAAAGAGCAAAGTATAGTCCCTGTGGCAGCCCACACACCATCTCCTTTACTGATGTGCGAGCACCGTCTGCAACAATTACAGCGCACATCGGTCTGAGTCGTGCTCTTGTGTTGGTGCAGAAGTTGCTGTTTCTCTCGGTGATTCCTGCTGAACGTTTAGCATGAGAACGCTGCACCAGACGAAAAGGCAGGAAAAGCTGCTCGTCTGTAGTATGTCATCGGGCGACAGCATCTGCGTCCTCTTGTCGTCTTATTTTTTCTTTCATGGTGTGTTTTGCGTGGTGCAGCTACAGATCAGGATGTTTAAACATCTGAAAGGTATTCACTGGCTGCTACTGCACAGATACGGAGGTGTACGGGTTAATGGTGCATTAGAAATATGCAATAGGCTTAACTCGGACTGCTAAAGCCTCCTGTATGGATTTTGTCCTCCATCTCTTATGCTGGGAGGGCATTTAGAAGCTGCAGCACAGGGCTAGTCAGGACAAGAGGAACTATGTCAGTGAGCAGTAATTCTTTGTTTTAAGACGGACGTTGTCGCTGATGAAAACCGCAGCTCGTTTTCTTTGCTTAATTTAAGATAGTATGTCGCTAATCTCTAAAGCTCGGTCCGCGTCTTGTCTCTCACAGCAAAAGTACTTCGACTCGGGGGACTACAACATGGCCAAGGCCAAGATGAAGAACAAGCAGCTTCCTGTGGCGGGACCCGACAAGAACCTGGTGACCGGCGACCACATCCCCACGCCGCAGGATCTGCCCCAGAGGAAGTCCTCCTTGGTGACCAGCAAGCTAGCTGGCTAGCCTTCATCGTCCCAGAAGCGCCCTCTACCCCCCTGGGACTCCCGGCTAACGTCCCTTCACCACCTCACTTGTGTCCCAAATATGTCCGACCTCCTCCTCCCCCCTTTTTCCCTTTTCATCCCCAGGCACCACTGGCTTTAACATATCGGGCAGAGTTGTATAAGTTGAAACTCCATTTGCTTGTATGTGGGCGGGGCGGGGTGGGAGGGACGGAGGCTTAGGCGGCCTGAAAGGTTGCAGCCTTCCTCGCCTTCCTACCACGCACAGCTCTGCCCCCTCTGCACACTCTGCTCTACCGCCTCCCTTATATCTTGGTTTTCAGTGTTCCAAGATGCATTACAGTAGGTGTGTGTCATCGGGCAGGGGTTGGATGGGGTGAGTTAATGCACTTTGTATTCTGTATAGTATGTTTTTTTTTTGTTTTTTTTTTCTTTTGCATCCTGAATGACACCAAAACAATGTGTGTAAGGGAGTTAGGAACCATGATCGCGGCGTGCTCTTTGATCTTCACGTTCCCTTTCTATGCTGGTGGCTGGCTTCAGCGTGAGGGGTTGGAAGATGTATGTGAATAGTTGCTTGCATACCAAATCTGTGAGGGGCAGCTGCCTAGTTTAAGAGATGCTTACAATTCACTGACACCCTGTTGGGAAATGAATGGAGGGTTCCTTGCATCTTTTTTTTTTTTTTTTTTTGGTCAAATATAACCTGATGCTAACTGCTGCAGCTCAGCCAAATGGGGATTTTAAAAAACGTATTTGTTTTTTGTTCTCCTTTGCTAACGTTGCTTTAATTTCATACTCCCTTTGCTCCTGTTCTCTCTAAATATGCTGCATGATTGTAACAAAGAAGAAAGAAATTTAATATGTTTTTTTTTAACAGGAGGGGAGCATCTGCTTAGTGGTGAGAAGTATCAAAGCATACACACTAAATCCTAAAGCGTCCACGGTCACAGTTCCTTCCTTTTTTTTTTGCTTTTTGCTGTCCTGACAATCCATGTGCACACGCTCCTGTTAGCGGCCCAGGGCGAGAACCAGCTGAGTATATCCTCGTATTATTTTTAAAGGCTGGGAACCCTGCCAGTCTCTGAGCTCGGCCTTAGTTTGGTTGCTGTTGAGTTGCATCAAGACGTGTGTTTACTATGAGCCTAAAAAGATTTGTGGGGGGATAGAAGCACCCTGCATAGAGTATATGCTTCTGTAAATAATAGTCAAACAAGCACGTAATTCGTGATAAGCTTGGCGCTTTGAGGACCAGACCAGCTAGCATGCCTGAGAGAAATGGTAGTGCTAAATCGACTCACTTGGGATTACATCCTGGGATTTCTGGCTTGGATTTTTTATTTTTTTTTGCTTTAACAACTGAGCCAAACTCCACACTGCAGCTATCAGGCACAGAGACTGTGGATACGCTTGTCTTTTCAATGTGACTGTTAGCATCTAACCATCCGACCTACACCGCAGCCGGAGCCGATCTGGTTGATTATACATAGAGTGCAGCGATCATACAGATGTCTTACTTCCTTGCCATCTCTGAAACACTTCTCCAAACACATACCTATTAGTTGATTGCATTCAAAGACGACATTGAGAAGACAACGGTAACCGCAGTTCATCGCCTTCATAGTTCTGTCCCGCAGCGGCACATGTGCAGATACAATTTTTTTGTAGACGTTTGGGACCGACCAAAAGAATGACTTATTCTGACGTTGATTTCTAGTTTTGTGCAGGAGATTGTTCTCTCCATGTTTTAACACTTTCAGAATATATCACAGTCAGACATAGTGGTTCCCTTGACAACTTGCATTCTTCACATTATGAAACACTAACTTTAGTAAAAATAATTCTACTACTTGACTTCCCTAAAACCTCAGCTGGAGTAAAGTCCTGCTTTTGCTACCAGCGCCACACACAAATAAAAGTTTCTTCTTCCCAAACTGACACACTACACAGACTGATCCTTGATCTCAGGGGTGTCAGAGGGTAAACAGCTCACAGACTGATAAGCAGAGCTCCGAAGAGCATCATCTCGGGCTTAAAGTGGGACATGGCGTGTCTGCAGGAGCGCTCACTCCAACACTTGGCAAAGCAGAGAGAGATTTTATAACATGATGAGGGGGGCAAAGTGTGAGCGTGTGCTCTGCGCTCCGGTCCCACCTGTTCCTGTGGTTCAAACCTTCTGAAACAGGCCAATGGCGCAATCACCAAATCTCCAGACTTTGAATGTGTGCCCCCCCTTCGCACATTCAAGAATCTGAATTGGATGCCGGCACTCACTGAGAATCAGTGTCTATTAACTACTTCAGGGAACCTTCACATGCGCACACTCCACCACATAGGCTAGGTGACAGGGTGCATGCACCATCACATTCTCAACCTCACTTGTTTTTCATTGAGACTTTAAAATGTGTCAAATTTGCAGTGGGTGAACGAGAACTGAGCTGTACGTATGTGCTTGTTGTGGTGTTGTATGAATGCACTGCTTTTTCTTTGTTCCAACTATTGTAAATAGACTTCAGCAGGAAATGATTTTTTTTTGTTGTTGTTGTTGTTGTTTCCCACCTGCTTTTCACTCTTTCAAAAGCCTGAGCTATTTCTGATTCAATGGTTCCTCTCTCTCCTTTCAGTTCGTCACTACTTCTGCCGTATCTTTAGTGTATCGCAGAGGCTACGTGAATCTGTATCATATGAAAATATGTGTAAATGCTGCTGATTTCAAAGACAAATCTAAGAGATGAGACCCTGTAAAGAACACCTGTCCTCTTGGTTCTACCAGTCCAGCTCTCTTGTCCTTAAGTATCTCAGTGCTATAGCTCCTGTGGAAAAGTCGGTTTGCTTTCAGACTGTGTTGTGTAAATTCCAAAAAAAAAAAAAACAACTACATTTTAAGTGCATTGTTAGATTCGATCCAACTTTTGGTCTTGCCATAACTTCAAAAGGTGAAGCCTGAAATGTCACTTTAAGGATGGACTCTGTCGCGTTATGTTGTGTTTAACAGCCTACGTTTTCCTGCTTTAAGAAGATTGCTTAAAAAGATATGGGTGAATATGAAACGACAGTGGACAGGGGGTTCTCGAACGCTACTTGATATTCATTCGGCTTGGCACGGAGCGGTTCGACGAGAGGGAATAGCAGGGTATGTCTCAGACCCGACACACAGGGTGTCTCTCGTTCAGCTACGACGATTACGTGCCAGAATGTATAAAGAAATGACAGGCTGTGTGCTCTGAAGTACTTTTGTGCTGCTTTTACCTTATCTGTTTTCTTGTTTTGCAAGTAAATGTTTCTTTTTTTTTTCTTTTTCTTGTGTTCTCTTATTGCATAATTAATGTATTTCATCCTGGCCCAAGATAACTGCAGGGAAATCAGAGGCACCCTTGCTTCCAAGTTAAAAAAATAAAATAAAGGAAAAAAAAAAAAAAGGGTTTACATGATAAAGAAGATTACTGGAGAACACAGGAATGATTTTAAGACTTCGGAAAGTACAGGGGTACTTGGAATGTTTCAGTTGTGTGGGAGTAGGTGAGAGGATTTTTGTCAGTATTTGAAATAAACTTTTACATTAATAAGACGTCTTTGTTGGTTTTTATTCAAATCTCTGACTCTGGACAACCGATGCACTTGTGTTGACGACTACGAACCCAGATCTCTCCAGCACATCAGAAGAAAAGGTCTCATGTTGAAGCATAAACAAAGCCCAGAATCTTCTGGGTAAAGACATGAAGGTGCTAGAAGGAAGTAGAAGAGCTAAGTGGCCACTAGGGGGAGGCACAGGCATTTTATTTGTAACGTGACACTTTGGGAAAAGTTTTGGTTTTTTTCCAAGCTGAAATATTACTTGTTTAGAGAGGAAACATGCTGGAATGGAAAGAGTCCTGCTGTTCTTAATGATGGAAATGTGTTGATGTGGCCTCATGTGATAACATAAAGGTCATGTGTGCTACAAGACAAGAGTGGCTGTAAATGTCTGATATATCCCCTTTTTTTTTGTAATTTATTACAGTCCACATGAAGGGTTGCTTTTACTTCATTAGTGTAATTTACAGCCATGTATCAAAGCATAAACACATCACTGGTTACTGCACTATATACCTCTTATATAACACAACTGCACCAGATATTTCTCATGAGGGGGGACGAAACATGTTTATTTAAGCTATTTCTGTAGGCTAAACCTTTGTAGTTGTCATTGTTTTCATTCCATTAGATAATTGAATCTATTGTGGTGGGAGTGTTTCAAACAATGCTTCCTCAGTCTTTTCATATTTGATGTCATGGAAAAATACAAGAGTAGCAGTGATAATTTATTTTTTATTTTTTTTCTCGACATACCTAATTTATATTTTTAGCTTTAAAATCATAATAAATTTGACTCTTTATTTTTGACTTTTTTTTTATATTTTAAAGCTACTCAAATATAAACAAAACAGTTTTGAAAAAAAAAAAAAAAAAAAGGTTGGGCGGAAATTCCGTCATCGTGACGTCTTGTCGTGTTTATAACGACCGGAGCCTCGCGGAGACGGAGCCTCACTTCCGTTTCGGTCCGTCAGCCATGTAGAATAGGTTAACGTCGGAGAGCAGGCTAGCGTTTTGTTTAATACAGGCTAGCTTTAAACTTTAAGTAAACCACTCCCCTTTATATATATCTCTCTATATATGCAACTGAGTAATTTTTTAAGCTAAGAATCCAAAATGAACATTATTCCGACGACGAAACGGACGGCGCTCATGAGCTGCTTTATTCTTCCTCAAAATGGAGTCGTTGAGGGACAGATGCACTACGGATCAGGAGATCCCTCCGCACAGATCCCCATGGCCTCCCCTTTGGACTCACACAACGGGAATGTCGGCTCCGGCGCCACCCCGAAGAGGCCCAAGAACCTGGGAGTGTCCACGACGAACGGGTTTGCGGGAAAGGGCCTCCGACAGGTCAGCGACAGCCTGGAGGACAGCTCGCTACCGTGCACTCCGGAGCTACAGTCGGACAGTGAAACCGACGTGTCGAGTTGCCCGGCGGGGGACGAGGTGCTGGAGAATGACACGAGGCAACTGATTAGCAGCTTCCTAAAAGACTTTACTGGACTTTCAAAGCCTCGGTGGAACGAGGGCAAAGCATTATCTACAATGAAAAGAGTTGTGGAGGACGTTTTGGAAAAGCACAGATACGCGTACAACGGTAGGTGGCGACCGGAATGAGAGGGTTTTTTACACAAAGACAGGCCACAGGCTTATCCGGCTGTAGCTACAGGCAGCATCTGACACTAAGTCCTCACTACGCTGTCCTGGTTTGGATTTAATGTTTATTACCAGTAGGAGCCATTTTACTCTCATAAGACTAACCAGGAAATGATCCCTTAGTTCAGTGTAGCTCAGCCACTTTAATGTGAAGTAAATTGAGCTGATAGCTGTACAAAAATGTAAAATCTAGATGTGTGTTTTTGACTTTGCCTTTCATATTCTATAGGTATGATCAACAAACTGTCGCTGGATGACAGAGGGGACGATGTGTCGTTTGTCAGTGCCGTAGCCAAGAGCCTCTTCGCAGACAGGACCACCAACTGGGGTCGCATCACCAGCCTGGTGGCCTTCGGGGCAGTGGTGTGCCAGTACCTGAAGGAGAGGGGCAGGGAGAACTGCGTCGACCTGGTGAGCGAGGAGATTTCCACATACCTGCTCTGCGATCAGCGAGACTGGCTGGTGAAGAACAACTCATGGGTGAGTTCTGACTAATGTCTGAATGACGGGAAGTTAGAAAAAAACCTCAAACTTGCCCGGTTGCGTAACTGCTCTCGTTGTACACCCAGCGCCCCCTGTACGTCACCCCCAGATGCTTATGTTTTCTTTTTTTTCATATTCTCTCTCTTTAGGATGGCTTTGTAGAGTTTTTCCGAGTGGCAGACCCTGAACTGACGGTCAGGAACACACTCATGGCCTTTGCTGGATTTGCCGGTATTGGGGCGACACTGGCCCTGCTGATCAGGTGAATCTGTTTGGACACTCAGGGACTCGTTTTTTTTTTTCAAAACCAACCTTCTCTGCTTGGGTTTGGATATAAGAAGATGGAAATTAAAACAAAAGCTACTAAGATGATCACACCAGTAGTTCCCTTCATGTGTCTGATGGGGCCCCCCTTCCGGCTGCGCCTGCAAAATAAGTTGGAGGAACTGACTTTACTTTCAACATTCAATGTTCAAACAATTAGGTTATATTTAATGTACGAAGAAATTTATTTTTCTAATAAATGTAAAATATGTTTCTATGCAAATTGAAATGGTTATGGGGAGTCTGATTTGTGCTATATTTTTCTCATAATTATGTTTACCATTTGGTCTATAATTTTATCACAATTCTCTGGTGAAAATGGTTTGTTGGCAAGCCCCAGGCCAAAGCAGGAAGGGAACGCTGCATCTCTTCACTCTGTGCAGCCATGAAGCCCGTTTCCATACAGCCCATTCAGAACTCCTGGATTCTTTGTATGGACATCAAGTGAGGGGGCAGAAGGGGTGGAATTTGCATGAGTGTAGCTGGACTTCCTTGCTATGAAAATGTTGGATCTGCACCAGGGGTCAAGACCAACCCCATGCTGGACTTTTGGCTATACAGGATCCTGGACAGTATGAGTCTGGGGGAAAAAATACGGACTGTGAGTGGGGAAGATGCAGATAGACTGCACCAGAGCTGACAGTCACTGGATAAGGATTTATCTTTTTTCCCCTGCAGAGAGAAAACAGATGTTGATTAAACAGTAAAGACACAAGTGTAAACTAAACATTTGTATAGAAAAATAAAAGAGAAATCTAATTCACGTGCTTTGACCTTCTGATACTGTCTTTTTGCTGAGGGAATTGTGCAAAAACAGAAGATGGGTTACATCTACGCTCATTCTCTAAGTTTAAGACTAAGTTTAACACCTCCGCACTTGTTAGACTTTGATGTTTATTCACACCACAACCCAGAGGCAGAGCAAAGGCTGCTGTTTCCTAGAAATCTGATGAGGCTGTGGCTGCACCTATATCGCGCTGAGCGCTCAGCTGCATCCGCAGTTTTGCGAGTTGCAGTGGTTGCTTGTTTATATCTGCACAGAGCTGGTGCAAACCAGCTGAATGCAACAGCCAGACTGAGGAACTGGGGTAAAACAGTTCACAACATCCTCAGAGTTGCATAACGCTGTCTTCTTCCTGGGTTGGAGGGCTGTTTAGCTACCCAGAAACTAGTGACTCAATCAAATATGTGATATGTGATTGGGTGTTTGAATGCTTGATACCTGCTTTTGAGTGTTTTTTTTGTGTACTTTGATGCACAATTTCTGTCATTTTGTCTTTATCACACACACATTTGTGACAGGTTTGCAGTGCAGAGGGTTTAAATTCCACTCAGCCACAGTTCCAGCCTGTTCTAATGTCTTCCTGCTTGTATTAATAATCCTTGATCACAATAACATTTTTTTTTTTGCACTTGCTGTCATCTGAAACCTTAATTCTTTGCGAAGACCACATCAAGCAGGGGAATCCTTGGTGATGGGTGGCTTCGCCCTTGTTTGTTCAGATCCTCCCGTTGTCTCGGGTTACAGAACAAACACAACACTCATCTAGGTCTTAGGAGGAAATGGAGTAGAGGCTCTCCATGGTGATGATCCACAGCAGAGCTCTCCTAGTTGTCTCCTGCGGCTGATGATGTTAGCCACCACCCTGGTTACCCCCCACCTGTACGCTTCAGTGTGAAGCCTGGTGCACGATGGGGGAATTGAGGCTGAGGCAATTTCGTAGAGCAGTTTGCACCATCCACAAGCAAACTGGGGAAACAGACACCACTGCAGTGTCTGGGGGGGTGAATATGCAGGAAGGTTTTTAGAGCAATGTATTATTTAACTGTTTGTGTATGTGCACCACTTTGGAGATTCTAGAAAACTGTTTTTATTTATTATAATGTTACATGCTGACAAATGAAGTGTTGTTCTTGGCTCATCCATCAATGGCTGCTGTGTTAAGATGTGCAACAAAACAGACTAACTGTTGAGGCATAACAAAGTAAACTAATGAAATTTAGGTAACCAAACATTAAAAAGTAACGAGAGACCTGAGGGCAAATCATCACCCAGCTCTACATTCTCAGACCTAAAGCCAATTTTGCATGTAGAGTAAATTCTCTTTGTTCTCAGGCCTGAGTGAAGTATCTGAAAGTGAAAATAGGACAATTTTCAAAAAGGACTTTTACATTGGAAGACTTTTAGAAGCTGTCATTGTGGTTTTGCCCCACAGACGGTCAGTTATATAACGCAGCAGCAAAGATAAAAAACTGTTTTGAGGAAGCTGCAGCAAACATCCTTCTTTCAAGAAAACTGCACAGCTTCTGAAAATGTTTTTTTTCATATACTGCTGCTTTTACTCCTTCCAGCTGCACTTGTTTGCTGTAATCGTGCGGCTTGTGCAGCAGCAGAGGAGTGCAGCTGCAAACCGAAAGCTTGTCGACACACAATCGACGGGTGAAGACATTCCTGCCGTGGGATAGTTCAAGGAGCGGTTTTCAAACCATTGTCTGTACATGTACTCGCCACTCACTGAGTAATATTGATTATATTCAGCTGCAATCATTTCCTCGGTATGTCCCCACCCACAAGAGCTTTTTAGGACAACCTGTACTCGTATAACTTTCTCTTTAAACTTGAATTCCTTGAACTCAAAAGAAAACTGATGTTTTTCTGTAGGTTTTGGGGATGTGGGCTTTCTGATGGCCTCATTAAGGAAGTCTGTGACGACACACGTTTGACAAAATCTCCAGAAAACTTCGGTTTCCGAGCTAAATGAACCCGTGTCATCACACTTCGTTGCTCAAATGTTTCTCTGCACAGGAGCAGCCGACACAAGCTGTCCTTGTACAGTTTGGTAACTTGAGCTTTGAGTTGAGGAGCAGCCTCCAGGCTCACAGGGTATTGGTTGCGGGCCTCTTCACTTCCCCATAGCAACAGCCCGGCCCCTCGGTTCAAAAAAAAGCAGCAGTTTCTGGGAAGTCAGCTGACGCACGAGTTAATCTTTAACAGTAGTCTGCTGCGCTTACTCGTTAGACGCCGTGAATACTGAGAATTCAGAGTCTGAGATGCAGAGATAGGCCTCGTCTGCGCACTCTGCAGTAACGCTGTGTACAAAGGAAGCATGATTGCTCATTTAAAAAGTTTAGCGCCTGCTTGCACGTCTTGCACCAGCAAAACAAAGAGCCACAGCGCTGCAGCAAGATCACAAGAATCACCAGGGCTGCTTCACTGGCAAGGAATTAGAGACTCGTCTGACTTTGAACTTCAGAACTGGTCTCTAATTAAATCTTTGCCTGGGCTCTGCTATTTCAATATGTTTATATAATTGTGCAGCCTGAGGGTGTGTGCTCAAGTCTTTCCTCTCTCGTCCTTGCAGAAGTGCCTTTGAGCAGAACAGGTCTAAATGTGTTTGAGGTGCTGTGTCGTCTCTCTGGTTGGTGATGAGCATTCACTGCTTCTGCTCTGCACTCTCCAGACGTGTCACTTGCTGTGACCTAAATTGTCAGGTGTTGGTTTGTTTTTGGTTTTTTTCTTCTCTCTTCCTGCCCTGACATTTCTCTTCTAGTTTGACTAGCTGACGCCTCTTTATCTCCGCCGACACCAACCCCCTCACTTCTTTGGAATCCGCATTTAGCAACCGCAGGTTCTCTTTCCCTGGAAGCACCTGTTGAGCGCCGGCGGCCGTATCCATTCTAATTCATGCAAAAAAGCAGAAATGTGCATATGCAGCCTGGCTGATAAAAAAAAAAACCCTCCACAAACACGGCGCTCCTTGTTATGGCTGCTATTTTGAATTACACACCAGCCTTCCGCTCAGTCGTCTATAAATGGACGTCAACACATTCTCGTGTATAATCTTGTTTAGGGAACCAAAGCATTCATTTAGTCTTTGGGCCTGGTGATGCCCTTTAGCGGCGCCAAAGCAGCGTTTGAACGGATAACCCTGGTATGTGCCGGGCCGGTTGATTGACGGCGCATTAGGGAGGTTGGGTTGATGATCTGATGTGTTTTAGCAGCACATTCCTCTGTATGTAAATGTGTTTACTCTGAAATTAAAAAGAAAAGTAGATAGTTGATGCTTACACATGTCTGTAAATGTTTGAATATGAAGATCTAAGACTTAGATCTGGTATTAAAGAAAACATTTGATTCAAAGCAGTTGGACTAAAAACCACCTGCTGGTCACATTTTAAAAACCAAATACTTTCTCGTCTTCCTTTTCATCTTTGGGGGTAAATAACTTTTCTCCTGCTGTGTCAGACTTGGTGTGACCATACGAAATGTTGCTGAACAATGTTGTTGTGGAGCGCAGAGTTGGGAAAAATAGCTTTAAACACAAGTTTAAAAATAAGCAGGAGATCAGAGGTCAGGCGGCTCCCATTCATCAGCGGTTCAGCCCGAGCGGCTCGTCTCGGTGAGTCGATACTGCCGAGAGATCATCCAGTCCTGCTGGATGATGTGTCATGTTCCCATCTGAGCGGAGTCATCCCGTCCTTTGAAACTTTATTCTGTACCATAGTGCAGTATTAATAGGCGGCTTATCCATGTTGGCACTTGTGACGTGAGGCCTGGCAGCTATCATTCCTTCCAGCTCACCTCAGAAGATCTTTGTTCAGTCTGTGTCCTTAACAACAGTTGAAGGGTTTGTTTTGATGGAAACACCAGGAGACATCACTCATAGACTCTGACACTGTTTGATGGGTTTTTTTTTGGTCACATTTGCACCGTTTTTGTTGCATAAGTAGCTTATCTATGATCTGGATGTGGACCTGAGCACTGTTCTGACATAATAAGCAGGACTGGCTCTGTTATGGTCTAAGACAGAAGGATGCAAATCATAGAAAAGGCAGAGTGTTGGTGTTCAAACTGAGCAGGTTTAGGGTTCAAAAGCTTTATCCAGCAACTTTTAAAAGCAGAGTTTACACAGTAGTTTGACAGAAAAAGGGGAGAGCTTGAGTTAAATACAGTACTATCTTGAATTTGAATATAAATACAGTGGTGCTCAGATGTATTCATACCCTCCCATTTAAGAAGGAAAAAAACAGCTTTAGTCACTGAAATAAGGTGAAATTGACAAAAGTAGTAATAAATAAAAATTTAATGAAAATCATGACATTGCTTTTGAATTATGGTTCCAAAGAAATATATATATATTTTAAAATTAAAAACAGCATGATGGGACCTGTAAACTAATATTTTGTTGAACAACCCTTTGAGCCAATCACTGCCATCAAGTGTTTTCTGTAACTCTAGGACAGTTTTGTTTATTTTTTAAAATTATTCTTTTCAACCACAAGTCAAAAGCAATGCATTATTTCACTAAATTATAATTTAGCAAATTTTTATTTATTATTACTTTTTTCAGTTGCTAGTTATTTGAGTGACTTTTGTGAATTTTGCCTTTTCTTTAATGGAAGGAATACATTTAAAGGATGAATGTAAGTCTATACAGCAAACACCAGCTGATACAACTCAAATAGTTTTTTAAAAAACAGCAAAACTGGACATTAAAGGAAAGAAAAATAGAGACGTGGGATAAGAGGCAAAGAAAAGGAATAATCTGATTTCAAGAACAGACTGGAAACAAGGATGGAATGAAAATAAAGTAAAAGACGATGAAAGAGAGTGAACAAGATGAACCATAGCACCTAAAATAGACGATTTTAGCTTCAAATAACCACTTGTACACTTTATTGCTCATCTAATTTGTTTCCTCAATTAACTGACTGATCGTCCAACTAATTGCTTCAGGTCGGACTCTACAGATGCGTCACAGATTTCACAG